AACACATAGTACGCAGCTATGCAAATTAACATTAGCTTCCTGGCTCAATGGGTGTTTCTACCCTCTAGTTCTGGGTGCCAGATATTTTGTTCAGCCCTGTTTAAAGCACATACTTATACTCGTGTGCACATACACGCAGACCCTGAGAGAGATTTTTTTTAACTAATTCAGATTTTTTGATCCATATAGCAAATTGTGAGTTATGGCTTTCTTGGAATCCAGACATTTTGCTCTTTGTCACTAGCACCCATGACAATTATTTGTGGCGCTGAATTAAATTGTGAAGCCCTCTTTCAGCATTACTGCATCAGTGTGGCTGTTGTCTTCGCAATAATTGTTCTTGCCCTAGTTAGAGAATGTGTTAAGATTTCTGCCCATGTGCTTCTTTCTGATGATATCTCTCTACATAGTAATGCAGGTAGTCCTCAACTTACAACCACAATTGGGACTGGAATTTTCGTCCCTAAGGAATGTGCTTAGCGGCCGCAATCCTGGCAATTCCCCTTGCCTTTGTTAAGCGAATTTCACCAGTCATTAGCTGAGAACCCATCCCAATCCAAGCCATTCTGGGCTTGGTCCCTCCCAGCCCTGAGCCTCAGTAAGGTAAGGGGGGACTGCCTCCAACTCCCCCCATTCGCCTATCTCCCTCCTGTCTCTGCCCTTTTGAGACAGAGCTGCACGGTTCTGGGGCTGCAAGAAGCCCTAGGTGCAGCACAGCAGGGAGCTGCAGCCGCCCCAGTGCAGCCTCACAATGCTGCCTCAAGCTGCCTCAGGAAGCTGCAGCCGCCCCAACCCATACATGTGAAGCAGCAGCCAATTGGGGAAGACAGGAAGATGTTTCACCCAATGGGAAAGGGGTGGGGGTTGGCTCAGGGAGCCACATGTAGGAATTGTTCATTGGAGAAATTGCTTGCAAAGGGGCTTCTTGGCATAAAAGGCCAGGCCGGGCATGCCTTATCAGCAGTGGGAGCAAGAAAGCAAGGTGAGCTGGGGCACTGGAGTGCAGGGTGACAGAAGTCTTGGAGTGCAGGGTGGCGAAAGTGACTGCAGCTGGGGCTCAGCTGACGTGGTTGCAGCTTCCTGGAGCATGACAAGCAGCCCCAGAGTTGCACAGTTGTGAGGCTCCTTGCTGCTCCCAAGGCAGGGTGCAGGGCGGCCAAAAGGGCAGAGATGGGGAGGAGATAGGCAGCTGGGGGGAGTTGAAGCACCCCTGCAGTCGTAAGTGCAGGCAGGTTGCTAAGCACCTGAATTTTGATCACTGCGGGGGGTGCTGCGGCTGTAACTTTGAGGACTGGTCGTAAGTCACTTTTTTCAGCACGGTCATAATTTTGAACAGACGCTGAACAAATGGTCGTAAGTCAAGGACTACTTGTATGTAAGCAAGACCTGGCACTTTAGGAGGGTTGCTTCAAAACAGCTTTCCCCAGGCTGGTGCCCTCCAGATTGGTCAGGCTTGCATTATTGGCTGGGAATAATGGGAGTTGCAGTCTCAGCACAACTAAAGGTGCCAGAATGAGTAACTATCTGACTGTCTTCATATTTGAAAATATTGCCATGTAAAGTCACCAAGCAACATAATAAGTTGTCTGCTCTGTGAATTTCCAAAGATACAGTAAAGCCTCAATGTAATGGGTCATGGATTTTTTTCCTTCGCAGGTATGCCATGACTGTGTGGTATTTCGATGCTGAAGAAAGAGCAGAAGCCAAAAAGAAATTCAGGAATTTAGTTGGTATGAGAATTTATTTTTTATCTCCGATGGATACTATCTACCATGTTCTGATGTCACAGAATTAATTACATAGGGAACACCTGTGCTCAATCCAGAAATGATTGAAACACATTGAAACAAGTTCCTGTAGACTGTTCATTTTTATGCCTGTTTCATCCCTAAATGACTGGGACCAGATATCTCAAAGAATGCCTTTCATATCATCCTGCCTATACCAACACCTTCACAGGAAATTCTTCTCTATATATTTTTGTTTAGAGAAGTACTACACGTGTGCAAAAAATGAGTCTTTTCTGTGATAGCACCCAATTTAGGAATTTCTTCCCAAAGATGTTTGGATTGATTACATATAAACCACATTTACACACCATTCAGAAGAGACAATAAAAAAGCTAAGAAGGAAACAAAAAGATCAGAACACATCCTCTCCAGCAGCCAACACCCAGATAAGCAGAGATTAACACCAGGCAAGCAATTTACATATAAACCACATTTACACACCATTCAGAAGAGACAATAAAAAAGCTAAGAAGGAAACAAAAAGATCAGAACACATCCTCTCCAGCAGCCAACACCCAGATAAGCAGAGATTAACACCAGGCAAGCAATCAAGCAGAAAACAATACCCTAATCAAGGAACTACCAAGGAGAAAAGCACCCCCCACACACCACCAACACTGGCAGGGCAAGTATATAAACAGGGAGCAAACCCCACACTCACTTGCACCAATGATGTTCCCTAGTTGGGTAATGAAACGTCTGCAAGCAAACAACCAGGCTCAGAGAGCACCAAGGACTCCACAGTTCAACCTTGAGCTACAGATATTCTCTTCTGTTGACTCCATATTCTTTCTAGTCTTAAATTAAATCTGTTTGCTCAAGCATTCTGAAGATAATTTGGAAGTGGAATTCAATGTACAGTCTGTGTTTAACTTACAGTTAGACTATTTTTCCTTTTTTTTTTTTTT